GTCTAACTCGGTTGTATCGTTGACATAGATTATGCCCGTACTGGCATCAATACCAAATATGGTATCACCGTCATTGCTAACTGACAGTATACTGTAGATTATAGCGCTATTATCAACACCAATGTCAGCGTCTGATGCAGATATCTAGAAGTGAAAGTCAAATACGGTTGTATTATTTTTATGCAAAATATAGCATCTAAGATAAGCTCTGTTGTTGTATGATGTTAAAGAGCAGTTTACGATCCTTTGCTGCAACATAGATGGTAATTTTTTTTTTTATATTTATTCAACAACAACCAGAATAATGTTCATTATTGTATACTCTAAGCCAATCATATTGAGGGCATCAAACTATTTTTGGAGAAATTATAATTTTGGGGACAACCATGGCGGCTATTTTGTCAGAATTGATATATGGTACCTTTTTGTCATCAACTATAAGGTGAAAACATTGCATACATCATAGGTTAGTATGTGTTATATAACATGACTGATAAGCTCTTTTTGTTATTTTGAATTATTTTTTAAGTCTTGATCTTACAGCAAGTCTCAGAAGTATTGGGGCAACCAATTTGCAAACTCGCTAGCAAATTGGCTAACTGCTTAGGATGGTACCAGCGAGATTCGAAAGCCAATCGTTTAGACAAAACCCAAACAGATAGCCAATTATGAAAGACGCAAATTGAAAGTCTGCTACAAAAAACTTTTGTACTTGAATATCTCTTTTTTTTTATATGTCTGAGGGTAACATGGTGTTAGGATACTATTATTTCATCAAAATTGATCATCATAAAAGTACATTATAAAGCGTAGAAATACCAAACAAATAGTTTTGCATTTTTCCAATCATATGTGATGTTTTGACATCATTATAATGCTATAATCTTTGTTTGTCCTGTTTTTACATTTCATTGTAATCATAACGTGGAATCTCACAGTGAACAACAAATGGTCTATTCTCAACAACTTTGAGAAAGTATCAATTTCTGGCTTCCAAGAATGTCTGCAAACTATCCATCCATAATATTCCCCAAAACAAAGTAATACACACACAAACTGTTTGATCAAATACTTACTCGTACATTTAGAGAAACAATTTCACTTGTCGTTGCATTTTCAATAATCGTTCCAACATAAGCCGAATGATCAAACACTGGAGAGTTGTCGTTCACATCAACAATCTGAATATATACTGTTGAATTAAAACTCTTGCGTTTTTCAGTTGTTTGTGTTTCTACTGCATAAACCTGGTGTGATAGAAAACAAATGTTTTATTAGTATATTGCTACACTATGTTTTTGAAAAGTATATAATGTTGGATTCCATGATAGGGGGAATTACTTCAGTTTTGCAATACAACCCAATTCCTGAACAACAATATCATATTTTTCACAAGCTTCTTTGGCAATGGAAGCAGGATCAATAAAAACTGCCCAAGATGTCATTTGTGATGGCTCATAACAGTCAAAAGTAAACAGACAGCAATGTGAATGAACTCAGGTTGATGAATCACCACAAATGCATATTTTTTTTTTTTTTTTTTTTTTGTGCCAGGAGACAGTTTCGGACATTGTCACTGTTGTCACCCCTGACTTTTTTCTATTTTGTAAATAGAAATGCAGGTGCTAGTGCTGACATATAGTGCATTTTGCCACAGAAGTCATTTCCTGTTTGGGATTACATGACAGGGCTGTGTGGCCATCTCCCTATCAGATGGCAATTTTAATGAGCTACCCTGGCGTCAACCAGGCTCGGTCGAACACCAGCAGCTGCGGAACTCAACCAAGGTTTCCCCAAAGTTGCATTCGTTAGTGAATGAATCTCGGCCAGTGGAATAGGCCTTCCCATTGAGTCTGTGGCACACTCACCCAGGGTAGGGGTGGACCCTTTAAATGTTCAGCCTAAGGTAGGATTTGAACTTGGGTCTACCGATCATGAGTCTGATGCGACAACCACTATGCTACCAGTGACCGGTTGCATATTTTATTTACAAATCTGAATTTTACTATTTGTATTAGAACTTACAGTAAGATTGTAATATGTTTGGCCATTATCGGCATCTAAGGCTGAATTGTCCTTCACTTTGACCTGTCCAAGGGTCAATCGGCCATCAGAGACAGTTTCAACAGTGAACACATCATCTGGTATCAATACGAATTCAAACACAGCATTCGTTCCCTATAGAATGATAATATTGAGATTGTTTATAATGTCTAAGTTGTATACAATACGAACATTAATATATACAAAATGACAAATAAATAATAAGTTAAGTGTTTATCAATGGTTATGAGAAACTTATGACATATTGACCTTGATTGTGTAACAAAAGTTTGTAATCAACAAGC